CAAGGGCAAGCGCATACATCTGAGTCTTTCATACATTCCCAAATGCTCAAATGATTAAATAACATCGTTTTTGTTGTCATCTTGTCAACGAAGCAAATGGTTTTCTAGAGAGGCAGAGATGTAATTTTCAAAATAACAGTGCTGTGGCGTTATTGTTTAAAATTGCAAACGAAAGTTAGAAGTGTATTTCACTACGTGCCTCAGTAGAAAATGTGCAGCATTTCCTATTCCTAATTTCCCATGAGACGCACACAAATGTATCGTGACAATTTGTGCTTTCGATGCATTATGGGTTCTTGGCTTACCCATCATTTTGAGTGGTGTTATGGTGAGGGTGTTTGACTCACATTAAGGAGGCTGCAAGTTCAAATCCCAGTGAGGGGTCGTCTCGGCCTTTGAAGCCTTCAGGGTTGATAAAATACCACTTTATGGGAGGTCAACAATGGTTGTCCTCTACTTATCTTTGTAAAATCATGATTGTGCTGGTGAATTGCAAATTTTTCATTGAGTGTGTTAACACTGAATGGTGGGACTAAAACTGGCATTGAGCACCGAATCAAGCCAGTATGTCACACAAATTATGGGCATGGCCAGCACAACATATACCCGGCCCTTATTGTGTCTACCTTATATAAGATACTCGTGTGAGGCTAAATCAACCAAGTTGAGATTCGTGTTAGGTTCAGATAAAAACTTAACGAAACAGGTATTTGAAATCCAGACAGTCTAGGATATAATCATGACAGATAACCATGAGACCAGAATTAACAAATCCGGTCAAGACCACAAACTAAATGCTTCACCATTGTAATTGCAAATTGGTCGGAATTGTTTCCCAGAACCACTCAAATTAATGACAATTAAGTGCAATTTATCGGCATTAACCAGTGTGGCTTTTAACAACGCCAGGCAATATGTCAAAATGCTCAGCCTAAGGTCATATGAGCACATTGGAATGCTGGAAAGAGGCTGGCAAAGATCGGGTCACGGCACAAGAGCAACGTTCAATGAACGCACATCTTGCAAAACAACTTACGACAAAAGATATAAAAAAAATGCCAATCTCCAAAGGGGCATGTGAATGGCTCTTTTCAAGAAGGGACACTTGGTCACATCTGCGTTGCACAGTGCAATCCATTTAGCTGCGTGAAAGGCGCTTTCCATTAAGGGTGGAGGAATGGAGCACTAATTTGACAGCCCGGGCACTTTGTCGTGGCGTTGCTAGCATCGCTGGCCTTCAGCGATAAAAAACAACTATGTTTCGAGCCACCGAGTGATGGCGCATGACGGGGTGTTCTGGAAATCTCCATCGCTGAGCGTGATGCATTGCTCGGATGTAACAAAATGTGGGCGAGTGGTCGCAAGCATTTATCAATTCACCAGCCTGACCATCACGCAGACCAGCCTACACACACTCGACAGCGATACAGATCGATAGATGACCTTTAGGAACAGGTAAGAGAACCGATTGATCTGAAAATTATGTTTGCAAGGGAAACCGTGTTTAAACAAGTACAGCAAACAGCAATTTTCAACGTGTAAAAACACAATTTTTAATATTTTACACATTAATACAAATAACGGATTTATATAATATTAAGGTTCGAGTTTGCAAAATTGTGCACATTACAAGTTGCTTATTATTATCTGAACATGTGCTTTCAAGAACATTTTCACTGGTAATTGCAAAAGAATAACTGTCACAGTAAATGTAACACTGAATTAGATGCAATTGATGCTATATGTAATCTTGATTTGAAGCTTTCGTGACTTCAGGAAAACCTTCAGCAGTTTATTTTTTTATTGCTGTGGTTGTTCCACCAGATGACGATTGCTGTGGTTGCGATCGAAACGTCGTGAACTATTATTTTTATACCTACGTGACCTTACTGAAAGAACCAAAGAGTATGCTATATGTAATGTAGACATAATGCCGTTCAAAGTGTGTCTTTTATTGGGTTATGTGGTAGTGTCGCAGAGCACTTGACTCACGACCAAAAGGGGGCATAAGTAGGTGGGTTGACTCGTCGGCCCATCATTCCAATGAGGTGAATCAAATGAGCACCACTTCATTTGAAGCCAGCTGCCGTTGTATCATACAGTGGCACCATTATTTTCATGAACTTTAAATTGCCCTGTTATGCATTGTTTGGCTGAGTGTACCTTGGGGAAAAAAAGACCTGGCTTAGATAACTAATTTCACTGTCAAGCATGGCCAGAAAGGAAACGCACATAACCATCATTTTAACACAGTGTAATGTTGCCCGTTAGAATTCATGGCTTTCTCATTTATTTAGAAACCCCTTTTGCAGTGACAAATACCCTGTGCGTGCTACATCCAGCTGCACGAAGCGAGCACAGGACACAACTGCAACCCAGGACACGTTTCATCAGCATGCATTGCGGTCATGCACGGGAGAATCCAGGAAATTATTATGCACGATGGCGAGCCCCACTACCATCAACGTGGCATTCCGCCACCCGCCAAAGTTGACGCCAAGCCTGCAGTCGCTCGCAAATATTTCACTTTTCCTCCGCCACGATCCTAGAATGCTGGCAAGTGGCAGGTCCGTTGCCAAGCAACAGTCTAACGATGGCAGCCATTGCGGCTGCACTGCAATTATGGCAATTTTCGCTATGGGAATCCTGTAATTTTATTTCCAATCTGGCTGAAAGCGCTAACGAGCACACAGAGCGAAATTATTTAATTTGTGCAATGTTTTCGCACGTCGTTGTAATTATATTATCGGTGGTTAAGGGCCACACATTTTGTGCAAGGGGTCACAGTGTGGGAGAAAGGCTCCAAGTTTTAGTTTTCACTGCCTGGGCATTGGGTGTCAAGTGTTCGGCAAAAACAAATACTTACTTTTTCTGTTGATAACAAAAATATGTAAATTGTTAAAATTGCTGTGCTATTAAGACAATTATATTCATCTAACAAACATTTAATGTAACGTAATGCACGTTGTGCTATATTATTACCACAGAACTGAGTCTCAAAGGCACTCTCAGTAATTATTAGTTGTAGTAAAGCTGCTGCGACGATCATTCTGTTGGGTGCTCGGGAGAAGGAGGAAAATAATAAGCATGCACGTGCTGATGTGAATCATGTTAGGGCTGAATAGAATGCAACAGTCTGTGGGAAGGATGACAAACAGGCACCAGAAATGCACAGAGACTTTCCAAATCAATTGAGTGATGCACGATTGGATGACTGGCGAATGACTGGATGGATGAACCGCGGGGTCAAAGGTTACACATTCAAACACATGGGACCCAACCCCAAACGTCTGAAAAGTCTGTCTGCTAAAAGGGGCAATGTGGCTTACAGTATTAACCTATATTTAAGGCCTCAATCAGTGGTCGAAATATAATATTCCCATTATAGTGGCCATGCTCTCCATGACAGAAACACTTCACACAATCACCCACACAGGGATGACGGGGGCTGAGACGACTGACCGTGATTTGAACTTGTAACGTGCAGATGAATAGATGACTGCTCTAACCCACAGTGCCACCTGACCGGATAGACCATTCTCCATGAAAACATGTTTTTTTTTGCTGTGACTGGGGGGCATCACTGCACCATAAATTCAGAGGCACATGGAGGAGAGATTTTCAGCTGGGCCATTGTTAAACAATGGTTTCTGTGTGAGCTAGACATTAGTAAAGGACAGAGTGCTTCCAAGCAATCTGTACTGTATCCTCATGCCTACTGTGTGCGCATGTGTAGCCATGGCACGGTGGTTAGCGCAATCCCGGTGCTCTAGGTTACATTTTGGGCAATGATGCTCAGCATCAGTGGCACGTGGTGCCTGACCCTTTCTGTGACGACCTCAATGTCAGCTCAGATTTAAAAGAGCACCTGGTTTGCTACATGATCATCATCACTGGGAAGATAAAGGCAGCCAGGCGAATATGGTACTGGTCAAACCACCCTCTCAAGCTGTACCACGCCAACCTCTGTATGTGCTTACCCTCTATTAGGCTAAATTGTAGCCTTCGTATGTGTGAGTGCGTTGTTATATAATGTGGGGAGCGGTAGTGTAGCGGTAAGCGTGGTACGCTACAAACCTGCTCACGGCCAACACCAGTGGCGATTATCTGAACCGGTCATGGGTCTCCCTTTGATCGACTTAGCCTCAAATGAGTACCTGGTGTGATGTGTAAACATCGCCACTGGGGAGACAAAGATGGCCAGGTTTGGTGTTGGGCCCCCCACCCCCACATGTTCCGTGCCGGCCTTTATAGGTGCTCGCTAACGGTACTTGCGCCAATAGTCTGTTAAGGATCTTTTGTCTTTGTATTGTAGCCGATGGCATGATGGACCACAGTAGACTCCAACATGTACGCGTAACCTTGTTTACACGGCCACGTTGTCAGTAAACAAGGACACGCTGTAGGTTAAGTATGATCTTTTGAAAGGCATCACACGTCGACAACCTATTGTCACTAACATTAATTTGAACTGCTCACTGCATTGCGCGGAAACGTCCTGCCCTTGGCACTCCACCACGAGCGAGTGTTTGGCACGTCCGACCACAATAAGCTTGCAACAGACAAGCAACGCTGCGAATGCCTGCACTTATGCCACCTTTTGACTCCCATTTAGAAACTATAACAGCGTCAAGGACAACATTTCCAACCCGAACAGGAAAATTCCCCTACAACCACTTCTGCCCTTCACAGAGAACAAATCAACCAATAGTCGGGATTTATTATTATTTTATTTTGCCATTGTTAAAACGTTCACCTCACAGTGATAGAATACTTCCTTAATTATCTTGCTGCAAGCCTTTGCAACTCTTCTTTTCACAGCGTACTGTGCTCACTTATTGCGCCGAATGCTTACCTTCTTTTGGAACTCTTTAACAAGACTCGTCGAGTCAATGTCCATGCTTAATTCATGTCAGAAGTTGCTGGCAACATTCACCCTGGTAGCGATGAGCTGTGTTTAATATTGAGATGAGTTTAATGTCTGAATTCTCGCCTTTTAGAGTCATTTCAGCGTACGGTTGAATGCGGCAAGGGGAAACCCTCCACCAGCAGTGGATTAGCAGGAGGGCTGCACCCGCCAGACGCGGAGGATGAACGGAAGAGCCGGCAAAGGTGCAGGAGCGCGCACTCGAATTGTCGCGGTTGCTAACCGACAACGCCAGCGGTGCAATTGCGGCGGGGCCCGTTTCAGAGCAAAGGTGGGCCGATCTCTCTCCGCAGTTCATCCCACGGGTTTCGCGCGCGATTCCAGTGGGAGAGAGGCCACGCGGGGGGCAGGGCGAGGGCTCGCACCGTGAGAAATGGGTCTTTAATGAGCGGCCCGTGTGCCACTGAGCAGTAAATATCAGTGTTTGGCGTGCTGCGGAGACGGGGCGTGTGGCTTCAAACGCACACGGCCCAGGAATAATATCGAGAATTTGTTCTGTTTGATATCCTTTGTGGCCAGAGGGTACGTGGCATGATATTTCTCTGTTTAGCTTTTGTAAGGAGGTATGTAGTACATCATATCGAATGGTGCGGGTGCATGCGTTCTTTAGTTCGCTCACAGCACTATGATCTAGCCTGACCTTTGTTCGATTCCTTGCCATGCACAACCAAAGCACGTGGTGTCTGAACCTGTCATGGGCCTCATCTCAATCGACTCAGCCTTAAAAGAGAACTTGGTGCAGTGTGTGTGTGTGAACACCAGCACGGTGGAGACAAATCTGGCCAAGTGTGATACAGGACCACCGTACTTCTTTGTGTACGATGCCAGCATTATTAGAAGGTGCTCATTAAGTGCACTTTTCCCGACAGTAAAGGCTTCATGAGGAATGTGTCTGTTTTTATGTGGGTGATATAGAAATAAAAATTACACAGTTCAAAGTGTACCACTAGTCTTTTGGCAGTGCTGAGCTAATTAAGGCAATTCCACATTCCGAGGTTGGGGACATTCTTTCTTGAGCATAAGTGTTCTTTAATTGTTGCAATGTGGTACTCATTTTAGGGCCTCTACGGCGGATGTTGAGTTGAGTCGACGCGGCCTTGGGAATTCAACTCATGACTTCACAACTGAAGGTTCTTATGCTCCTGCCTTCTGAACGTTAGGCTAGACAAATCATATTTCATCAAATTATAAATAATTCCATGCAGGTGCTTCAATATAATACGTACAAAATATCACAGCAACATTTTTACTTTTAATTTTGTTGTTGTTGATACATACAAAATGTCCAGATATTTGTATATATCTACATATTGTATATACACACATGTATATGTGCGTATATATTGCATATATATAGTTGATATACAAGCGGTGATATTAATTTACTGTTGAATAACATTACAGCGATTTTGAAGCACAAATTATACGACTGGAAATAGTTTTGAATCAAAAGTTGAAATATTTTATGGTGGATCACTTTTGTCCGATAATAAATTAGTTTATGGACATAATGCACTCGGTCACAGCATTGATTATTTGTAGGTCACTGGTTTAAACCCTTGGGGTAGAATATCTGAACTTGAATGTTAAATTCACAATGGTTATCTGTATGGCCTGCTTAATAGCTGACAGTTGCTGCAAGCTACAACCATGCAAATGTTTGAATGCTCAAATGAACAATGGGGCGTCACTAATCTGTGCTGGCAGAAACATTCCACATTACCATGGTAAGAGGCAGTCTATAGTTATACCAACTACTAATGGGCTCCCTCAGAGTGGCATTTATTTTCTTACTGGAGGAAATATACGCAGACATGAGGATTTAAATTTTCAAACATCTGATTGAGACAAGAGTTCTAACTACGGTGCAACCTGGCTTCCTAATTTATCGGTGATAATAATACATTTCACTGCCTGCCTTCTGATTTTAATATGTAAAGATATGCACGTAATTAAGGTAATATTTATGATATTAAATAACAAATGACTACCACTAGTTTTCTCAGGAAAGGCTCACTCAGTCTCGAGACTTTCCAATACTGTAATGTACTTTACTCAGGACAGGAAAGCCTTACGGAGACTGACCCATGAGATTAGAATGTGGAAGTTCCAACATTGGTTCAGGGCCACCAATGGAGATGGAGTGCCACTCAACAATTCGCTTCAGCAGGAGAGGGAGAATAAGGGGGATAGAGAATGGAGGCGATAAACTGACGGCTCAGTGTTGTTAGAGCAAAAAAATCCTTTATTCTTTGTTGTTCCTGTCTATGATTAGCACTCACCAGACATGAGTCTGGAAGACATTGGGCATTTCGATTTAAAATTCCACTCACATTGACACCTATTTGAAATGTCTGCATGGGCTGCTTGGTAAGAATCTGAGCGCCGTATGAAATATTGATCCGCCTGCTCAGGTTTGAGCCCAAAACTTCTGCTCTGAACTTAATTGAGTTGTGAAAGAAACATCAACTAAGCGTGTCTCTCTGTCACATCAAATGTTATTTGATGTGCCGTGGGTTCAATTATTGTGGCCTCGGTGGGGGAGGGTTTAAAATGTTGCTCCGAGACTGTGAAATGGTTTGATTTGTCCAACGATTGACCAAACAAGAATATCTTGTGTTTGATAATTTCCAGGAAGCTTCCAGATCTGATCTGTTTCATGTTCTGTACTGTTAGCGGTGCAACAAATTTATCATATGTAACATACACTTGCAAGAGATGCTTTGCAAATGCAAAGGCAGTCTCATATGATTAATGTAAATAAGCTAATAATGATCACTGCTCCCTTCAGATACTAAACTAAAGAACATTTTTGAAAGAGTTTCCATATTTAGCCTATGATAAACTGTTGGGGAAAATTGCTATTTTAAAAACCTACATAATAGTCAGGACCAGGCCTGGTTGTCTTTGTCTTCCGATATCTACTCATGACACCACATGTTTACATAAACATTAGTTAGTTGACCTCAGTGTGGCCCAAGATGGGTGTGGATATTACTCCCCACTGATATTATTCATGGCTAAGACTTGAACAGAGGCTACTATAATCATAGAGCAGTGAACCAACCACTCTGCGCTCCCCTATACATGGATGAAAAAGATGCCTCGCACAATCTTTTACAGGCTGTTCCGGCAATTGCTGTTAGAGAGTACCTATGATGGCTGATACGGCACACAAAGAGGTGAGTGATCAGCACCATGCTCCGCCACTTTGTCTCCCTCGTGCTGATATTTGCAAACCACTGCGTAGGGAAGGCCCAGGGCCAGTTCAGATATTTCTCACCAATGTTGGCCCTATATAATTTACCTATACACAAACATATACACGCCCACAGAACCCTGCCTACGCAGATAAAGATTATTTGGATTGGGGGCTTGGAAGACAATTGAAAGGCAGCAAGTTTAAATCCTGCTCAGGCATCAACATAGCCCATCAAACCTCTGGGTTTCCTTTTCTGAATAAAACTTTGAGGTAAGTTAAACGTGGTTATGGTATGGTGATGTTGACCTCCCACAGAGTGGTAGTCATTTTACGAATCTGAATGAGACAAGGTGCTTCGATCAATCAACCAAGATTTGATTTCACCTGTATGGCCTTCATGTTGCGAGTTTAGTATTCCGATCACAGTTCAACCTGGCCATATTATTCTTAGATAAACGAATAACTGTTACTATATTTATCATGTCTATCTTGTCTTCTATTGATTATTGTGGCAGCTAACATGCGTTTAGCACTGCCGTGCCCGGGTCTCTTTCCCTTGTTCCACACTTTCAGGACAGAAGAGAGATTCATCAGCTCGCCAGTGTCTGCGGGAGCAGGGCTGAGGGAGTAACAAACCTGGAAGTTCATTGGAGTGCTCTCTTTGCAGAAGCCCTTTCAAATAATTCACATCAATTCAGCTCCTCATTGTGTTCGTGTGGTTCTGCAAACCCCTTCTTAATTGACGCAGAGTGCTTGTCCATTTTTGTTATCTGAGATTTGTGTTTTTTTTCCACTAGGGGCGGCAAATGTCTCGTCTGCGTGGAAAAGAATCGTTAATGAGTGGGCGTAAGTGCGTGTTGAGCATTTGAGGGATGCACAGAGCCTTGGTGATACAACTCCTCTATTAAAGAATTTGAGGAATGGTCGCCTGCACAGAGGGGAAACTTTTGGAGAGTTCCCGTTTAAAGCCAGCATTGTATTCACCTCATTAAATTTAAAATCCAGCCAGATGGCACTGTTGGCAGAGCGCTCAACTCGGAATCAAAAGGTTACCGGTTGAAATCTCGGCCGTGGCTCAACTGAAGCTCGCCATAACCTCCGTGATGACTCGAGCGAGAACCCACTACTCTTTTGGGACATCTACAGTGGTTGTGGGATTTCTGCAACTCTTTTCGGGTCGCCTCGAGCAAGAGTAGCAACGTCGTAGCTTGAAACTGCTTCCCGTCTTGTCACAAGTTTTCCCACGCAGCACCCGAACAGGACCAATGCACATTGACTCGTAGTGCCCTACTCTCGTTTTTTTTTGGTATTTTCAAGGCTTGAAGGAAAAGTTGAGAGTGTGAACGCAATTAGCTGTTTACACAATAGGCTGAAGACCGAAACCCATTGCTTTCACATTAAATCAGTGCCTCTGATTTCTACACGGAGAAAGTATTTAAGAGTAAATACATGTAATTTCGTTACATCTGGGGGCTTTAAACAAAGGGTTTTTTGTCTTCATAACGAAATAAGCTTACAGGACTTCCTGAGGACGTAGAATCTCCGTGTGAACGGACTTTCCCTGATTGTGTTACGGTAAATTGTATTACAGGGTTAAGTTCATTGCTCACACTACTGTTGATGACCTGAGTTTATGGGACCAATAAGTTACATTTGGGGTAGTAACGTACGTCAGAGTGCCAGTTATCATCAACAGTGTTCACCATTCGTATTCACCTGTCAAACGATACAACACGTATGTGTGTATCTTGAACTTATTTTGTGCCGTACATAGCCAGGTGCCGGATATATCATTCTGTCCTGATTCAACACAAAGATAAAACACGGTCCCAATAGTTACTCTGAATTCACCATCTCTCCTCTAGGCGCGTCTCTATTGTGAATTGTCTTACTCCTGATTCATTCATCATTGTCAGCTTCGTCCACTGTTATGTCAAACATCTGAAACACCTGCCCAAATGAACACGAGGCAATATTCATCTCCCCTGTCAGCCCTGTGTATGTTTGTTGAAATTCCATATTCCCATGACGGGGACCATAATACCAAAAAACTGCCAATGTGGGCTTTGCACAAAGTGGTCGTCACCTCGAAGGGACAACAGGCTCAGACCAATCTCCTTTCAGGATTTTAATTTGCAAATTCACACGCTTTAATCCCAGCACCATGCAATGGACTTGTCCCTGGAGTTTTCCTTGGGCCAGTACTCTGGGCTGTGCGTCAATAAGTTTACATGGGGTCCGTAGGAAGCAGCAGATGGGATGGGAGGGCAAATTCGAGCCAAAAAAAAAGTGATGGTTTTGAAGGAGAATGCACACCGGAGGTAAACTTGCTCTGCTGACTGACAGTGCTGCCTAATGAACCTAGCAGGCACTGTGTTAACTCAGCCTTTGACGTTTGCGATCACTGAGGCTACAACAAATAATGTAAACACACATGATAGGAGCGTGAACTATTTCCAAAGGTGGCTGGGAGCACCCTATAATAATATTATTATGCAACCGTGCGGTGCTGCTACTGCAGCGCATGACCTACAACCTGAAGGTTGTTCAGATTCAAGGCTGGAATGGGTTAATACATCGAGTAATGCTTTGTGGGAAGTCAAACATGATTCTCCCATGCTGAACTGGTCCCCACTTCAATTTGTATGTGTTCATGTGTTTGTGCATGCGTGTCGAGTAGTGGTTCGCGCACCACACTACAAACTCGGACCCCAAGTTCGATTCCCGTCCGTCATCTTAGCCTCACATTGACACCTGACGTGACTTAGAAACATCGGCGCAGGGGGCACGGAGATGGCCGGACGTGGTGCTGCCCATGCCACCTCCAGCATTAATAGGTGCTCGCCAACAGCACTTACTCAAGCATTCTACGTCGGCTAGTTCGGAGATCTTTGATTTTACATGCATATACACAGACACAAGTGCATGAGCGTGCGTGTGTCATAGTGTGCGTGTGTGGGAGCGATAGTGGAGTGGTTAGCGCTACGCTGCGCAATGAACCCGGCGACCCGGGTTCGATTCCCGCTCACGGCCAACACCCAGTGACTATTATCTGAACCAGTCCTGGGCCTCCCCTAGGTCGACTCAGCCTCAAATGAGTATCTGGTGCAGTGTGTAAGCATCACCACTGGGGAGACAAAAGCGGTCGGGCGTGGTGCTGGCCACTCACCCCCTCGTGTACCGTTCCGGCCTTCATAGGTGCTCGCAAACAGCACTTGCCCCTACAGTCTGTTAAGGCTGTACGGGGGATCTTTGTCTTTTGTGCGTGTCATCGTGTGCGTGTGTCATAGTGTGCGTGCTCGGTGCGTAAGTCTTCTGAAAAGCGGCATTAATAAACAGATGCACTTTAGCCCCTTTTATCCACTGGCAAATATCGCCGACGCACATCGTGTGATACGAGGCACGAGAACGCATTCACACACAACGAACATTTGCGAGGCAGTGGGGATTGTTTACGTAACCTCAAAATGATGGGCGTAGATGAGTAGACTGGGGAAGTTACAAATATGTGCTCAGCTCCAAAGATTTCATTGAAAATGCAATTATTATGATTCTTATACCCAGGAAAGATTCACCGAGTCTATAAACCCATTTTTAGGGGGGGGGGGGGGGGTCTTAGATATGTTTTTATAGTAGGGTGCGATGTTGCTATGTGTAAGCCTAATTGAGTAATTTAGAGGTAAATTTTCAGCACAGGAGAACCCGGAGCGAACCCACCGCAGGACAGGGGGAGAACGCACAAACTGCACACAAAAAAGCAATCGAGCCCTTGCCAGTGCGAGTATGTACACACGATGCCAAAGTAGATCCGTAGATCCGTTTGCATGCTGTATGTGTAAACAACATGCATACTTTTTTTGTTTGTTAACTGAGACTGGAGCAACTAAGTCGTTTTTTTTTAAAGAGTTACGGCACAGTGGTTTGAATTCATGAATTACAACAGGAATGCTGCAAGTTCAAATTTGTTGTTCAGCATTGACTGGGGCCCATTCCAAAAACCATCGCACAGTGCTCCAACCGCCATGCCACTGCGTCGTCAACATCAGTTGTTCGGTGGGAGTCTTGGCCCCCGTCATGGAAATGTGGAATTTCTGTCATTGATTGTAACTATCACAATGGTCATTTGATCAGGCACAGGCAGTGACACTTTATTTTTGCCCAAAAACATTAAACCGCCACAGTCCGCCATGCTCGGCTGCTTTTTTGTAATTTAATTGGCTACGCTCAGACACATTTTGGGGAGAAATGTATGCAAGCGCAGCGGGTGAAATGGCTTGCGTGTTCATGCATGAGAATTTATGTGCATATTACAAACCCTGAGTATTTGTCTTCGTGTGTGTGTCCTCTTAAATGAGGCGTTATGAAAGCATCGAAAACACACCATCATTAAAACCCTCATTTTTCTATGCAAGCTACATTTTTACATATACCGATGGTCTATGCGTACACACACACACATTCACAATAGCACCCTTTTAAAGGTAATTCGAGATTTTTTAGCAGGCACCTATTAAGGAAGTGTGATGTGGCGAGCACCACACAGACCCAGACACATTTGTCTCCTCAGAGCTGATGTTTACACAAAGAACCAAAAACTAATTTACAGCTGACTCAACATATGGAGAGTTCAATCCATGCCCAGGAATTGAAATCCATGCCCAGAGTTTATTTAAATGATTGAGCAGTGCTCTAAGCAGCAACTGTGCCACCACACATGACAAACACGTGCAGGTTTTGGTAATATAAATGCCTGGTATCCTTAAATCGCAAAAGCAGACGACTCTGTACCACACCTTATATTAAAATTGTAAAATTATTGCCTGATACATTTAAAAGTAATCATCTTAACTACAGTTTTTAATCTATTTTTTTTATTACAAATGAGATCATGAATATCAATGGACTCTGCCTTGGTGAAAAATGCCTGAAGCCTGTAGAAACGTAAACAAAAAACATCTCCAATAAGTGTGGGTTAAAATG